CAGATAGCCCTCGTGTAGCTTTGCGCGAAATTCCAAAACAAACAAACAAACCAAATAATAAACCTGAGTCTCGATTTCCAAAACTTCAATATTCTAGTCACGTAACAAGCCTCATAAGTTCATACTTCAAAAAAGTGTATACAACCAAATCAAACAATTCTCAAAGCTTGAATCATACTACACCTATTTAACGTAAGAACCTGGGCTGACTTTACGGATTGACTTAAAATATGACAAGACCATGTAAATTGTAGTTAAAAACAAAGCGTGTACGACATTTGCGTAGTTGTTTCCTGTGAACTTTCGCGGACATTTTACTAGTGGACAATCAAATAACGTAGTATGTACTTCAAGGTGAAAGTTTTAGTTTGTTTTTTATATACTTGTTTTTTTATGTATAAAAGCAACTGTTTAGAACTATATATATTGTGTTAAGTAACTATATGAACGCATTTTTCATTTTTCTGTAACTTACTTTTTTTTGCATTAAATTTTATAGATGGTTACTTCGCGTTTCTAGTGGTAACCATCCCTTGAAAGTTTTGTTAATTTCGAAATAAGTGGAAGCTTATCATAGAGTTCCATTTTCATTTTGGTTTTTTTTAGGAAATTAGACAAATCAATAAATGTCAATAGCCGAACAGATAAGTTGATAGAAGGCCTGGTGATCAGGGCGCTTGACTTGCAATTTGCGGTTCGCGAGATCGAGACCCTTCACTGAACTTACTCTCCCTTTCAGCCATGGGGGTGTTATAAAGTGATGGTCAATCCACTGTTTGTTGGTAAAATAATAGTCCAAAAGTTGACGGTGGGCGGTGTTGACTAGCTACCTTGCCTCTAGTCTATCACAGCTAACGTAGATGGCCCTCGAGTAGCTTTACGCGAAATTCGACGAATAAAACAAACAACAGGTTTTATATAATTGATACAATAGTACATTTCACAAATACTTAATTTATTAACGACTGTTACGACAGCGGAAGTCACGTGACGCTGGTAACAAGTAATGAGTTCTAGAAAGATCGGTGAACATGACGAATAATCCAGTATTTCCTAGGCGCCCTCTATTCTTGTATATAAGTGCGCCAGACAATTAATCGGAATTGAATAGCGGACAGAGAGATTGAAGATATAGACGGAAAATTGGGTCAAGCGCGGTAGTAAGTAAAGTGCGTGAATCGTTCGTTGAGAATTATAGCGTGTGTTGAAGTGACTGTGGAAATTAAGTGTATTGCAAGTTGTATTGAGAAAGAATAAACTAGTTGTATTTAAGAAAGGACTTGTTTCGCTGAAGTTTCTCGGGAAGAATTTTTACCGGAAATTATCAAACGAGCAGAGACGTAACACGACCATAGTTTCGCTAATGATGCCTTTGCTGGCGAAACCATCGTTATTAAATGAAGTATTTGTGAGACGTACAGTTGTCTTTGTTTTTTTTCCTCAATTCTGTAAACTAGTGTTTCCCAAACGCGGACCGCAGACCGGTACCGGTCCTTGACTTAATTTCTACCAGTCCTCAACATGTCTTGGCTGTTGAGAGCACTGACACTTTCGTTTCTTTCAATATTTGATGACTAAAAGTCGCCTAAGTCAACCTTTTCTCTTTTTGATATATCTCAGATTCTCTTAAAACATATTTCAGCCACATATCAATGTCAATAGATATACAATTAAAAATATAAAAATGAATGTATCCTGTACGTGTAGGCCACCCTGAAAATCAGCTGAAAGGTTGTCCTCATGCAAGACTGTTGAGTTGCTAGTTCGTGTTATATATATATATATATATAATTATTTGTATATTATTATTATTATTTGTATAAATTGTGTACATATTATTCTTTACCATTTTATTTTACAATCTGGATAAGTCACTTGCCAGGCTGAATTAGTGGTTGATAAATGACACTCGCCAATGTTATGATTACAATATTACCGTTTCATGAGCTCATAATGTCGGCTACTTTTTCAATTTTCGCTATTTTTTTCCAGTAATCTCCCTACTTTATATCTGACACCCCTGGTTATCAATCAGTTGTGTTTGAGTATTTGTTGTGGAGGTATAAATCTGTGTTATAACTACCCTGTACTAAAAATGTTAAAACAAACTCCACTGAAAAGTTTTTTTTGTTTTTTTAAATGTGACAGTGGAGATTATGTGAATTGTGTTTCTGGTAATTCCACAGAAGTAAAAGAAAATGATGATATTGAGCCCACCAAAAAGAAACAGTGCACTTTCACCCGAAAGTATGACAGCTCCTATATTGAGTTTGGATTTATTGAAATGAATGACAAGAAAAAGAATAGACCTCGGTGCATAATATGTGGGGATGTACTTCGTAATGATACTATGAAACCATCGAAACTTAAAAAGCATTTGAATACGAAGCACAGCAATCTAAAAAATCAACCCAGAGAATATTTTGAAAGAAAACTTTCCGAATTAAAAAGATAACACAAAATTATTCACAGTGTCAGAAATACAAATAGAGCGGCATTTAAAACATTTTATAAAGTGTCGCTACGTATTACAAAGGCTAAAAAAGTCATTTACAATTGGCGAGGAATTAATTCAGTCTTGTATAAAAGACATTTGCTTCGAACTGTTTGGTGACTCAACGGCTGAAACATTAATTCGATACCCTTATCAAATAATACAATTATTAGGAGAGTAGAAGAAATGTCTGAAGATATTGAGGATCAGTTGTTGCAGCTGATACAGGTTTCGAAATACTACGCACTTCAGATTGACGAATCGACTGACATAACAAATGATGTACTTCTTTTAGTGTACTTACGATATAAAAAATAGTACGATACTATTAAAGAAGAATTGCTTTATTCCATTGAACCTCAATCGCATACTAAAGCGGTTGACATATTTAATGTTCTTAATGATTATTTCGTTAGCCATGGGTTGGACTGGAAGGCGTGTGTTGGTTTATGCACGGACGGTGCGGCGGCCATGTCAGGAATTCACCCTGGTGTTGTAACAATAGTAGAAGTAGTTTCTCCCAACTGCATAGAAACTCCTTGTTTTATTCATCGTGAAATGCTAACAATAAAGAAGATGTCCGTTGAACTACACAATGTTCTTAGATAGGCTGTAAAAACTGTGAATTTTATAAAAGCGAATGCCCTCAATTCTAGTTTATTTTCACATGTGCGATGATACAGGAGCTGTACACGAGCAGTCACTGCTGCACACAGAAGTGTGTTGGCTCTCGTAAGGCAAAGTAATATCTCGTGTTTTTTGAACTTCGAAGTGAAACTAGACTTTTTTTCGTCGGGCAAAAAAGCCAGAATGGGCGAAATTCTTCCAGGATACAGAGGGGATTGATAAGCTAGCATATCCAGGATACAGAGGGGATTGATAAGCTAGCATATCCAGGATACAGAGGGGATTGATAAGCTAGCATATTTATCTGATATATTTTCTAGTTTAAACGAACTCAATCTTTCGCTACAAGGTAGAATGTATTCAATTTTTCAAATGACTGACAACTTACATGAAAGTGATGCTATGTAAACAAAGAATATTAAAATTATGTTACGATATGTCTCCTAATGTCGCCTTTATTGGTAATGAAAGTGGAAAAAATATCAATGTTCAAAATACAAATACTATTATTTTCCACTATCTAACCTCATTCTCCTAGAGATTTGATTCTTAATTTCCGGATGACAAGGATCTGAGGTATGGAACCCCTTCAGTACCCATGACGATAGTAACTTAGCAACCAGCCAGGAAGATAAATTAATGGAACTGGCAAGTGATAAGGGCTAGGAAACGCATTTTAAAACGCATTAACATTACACGAGTTTTGGTTGAAAGTTTGCCCAGAATATCCCGAATTAATTGAAATGCCGTTAAGAGTTTTGTTTCCATTTCCATCAACATACATTTGTGAAGCTGAATTTTCGGCAGTTACTATGATAAAGACGAAACAACGGAACAGGTTCGACATTCGGGCTCCACTTCGTGTGGCACTCTAAAACATAGACCTGGAAATAGACAAACTTGTATCAAGTAAATAACTGCATACAACGAAATAATACGTAAAGTAAAAAGTTTATTTTGTTGTTGTTGTTTTTTTCGAAATAAATTTTTAGTTCTTGTAAGTATTGTATTATTTTACTTATGCAATTAACAGATATTTTACTTTGTAATGTCAGTCCCCGAAAATGTTTTTGGAATTTTACTGGTCCGTGATTACTAAAAGTCTGGGAACCACTGCTGTAAACAAGTTGATAGAGACAGATAAAAAACGTCACGAGACTAAAATATTATAACATATTTCATGATTTAACATTCTAATCATTATAAGGTTTTGTTATATAACATTGCATATTCTTAGACTGACGTGTTAAATTAGCTACACTAATTACTGGGTTAGTTTTAGTTGTTATCAATATAGGTAGCTTTCTGTAATCAGAAGTTCAGTTCATGACACTACTGTAGCTTAGATACATTCACGAAAGTTTTTTTTTTTCATTGTACTTGTATGCAATAATCTGTGTGAATGAACTACTAGTATTTCCTCCTGAAATCTTGATAACCCTTGTTATATATCATGGAAAATTATAGGATACCAAAGAACGATCAACGAATATGTTCCCGGATGTTAGCGCACTCTATGATCAACTTACTCAAGAAGAGTTTCTTTCAACGTTGAGCATACACGAAGCTGCCAAAAATGGGGACTTGCACGCAGTTAAACTGCTGCTGAAAACCGACCGGAAACGAATGGAGTAAGAGTTATCTAAAGTTATTACCCTTATTAACGATTTTAAGAATACAAATTACAAATACCTATAAAAATGTTTTAACAACAAATGAAATATTTAGTACTAATTCGTTAATTTGGTTGAAGCTACGTAATAGGCATTCAATGCTGTGCCTACAGCAGGGATCGAACGCCAATTTTTTAGAATTATAAAAACGCATTGAAGCTTATCGCTGAGACACCAGGGAGTTTTGATGATAAATATAAGCGGAAAACCTGAACAAAAATCGTCAGCTTTCTATTTTTTCTGTCTTGCCAAATCCTTTAACACAAATCGTGTCGAAATCGCTAGTGTTTTAACCTGTTTTTATGTGATTTACCTATCTTTGTTTCCTTTATAATTTTTTGCTATAATTACTTCTATATATATATATATATATACTTCTATAGCAGAATCTCTTACCAATGATCATTTATTTGTACTATTTCTGTACAGCCAAATCCCTTAACAAGGATCGTATATTTTCTATCTAGCCACATTCTTTAAGAGAGTCGGTTGTGGTCCAGTGGTTAGCGTGCAGTACTGTGGATCCTTAGATCTATGGTTTATACGCCCCTCACCTTTGTTACAAAATCGCGCTCTGCAGACCTCCAGTGGCACAGCGGTATGCCTGCGGACTTACAACGCTAGAAACCGGGTTCGGATACCCGTGGTGGGCAGAGCACAGATAGCCCTTTGTGTTGCTTTGTGTTTAACTGTAAACAAACAAACAAGCGCTCTGCATGTTGAGGCCATGAGTGGGTTATAAGAGTGATGGTCAAATTTTACTATACGATTAGAGTAGCCCAGGAGCTGGCGGCGGATGTTCCCTCCAATCTATAATTTCAAAATGTGGGCAAATAGTTCTTGTATAACTTTGCGTGAATATCCGAAACAAGCAAATCCTTAACTAGAGTCGCAAGTTTCCCACTTCTTTAGTCTAACAAGGATCGTATTCCGATCCTTCAGTCTAGCCAAATCCATTAACAGTAGTCGCATACTTTCAATGTCGTTTTTGTAGCCTTAACAAGAATAGGTTATTTTCTACTTCTTCTGTAGAACTGTATATTTTATAATTTTACATTCCAGTCAAATCCATTATAATTGTTCTGTATTTTTTAATTCCGCAAATTAGCCAACATTCCTACATAGTCAGAGAAAATAAAGTTTACTATCATAGTTTTATCTGTTAATCAGGACTGTCGATGAAAGAGCCTGGACTCCCATCCACCTAGCGGCAGCACATGGTCACTATGATATCGTGAAAGTAAGCCAAATATATTTTATATTCCAAAAACCTTTTCAAAAATTCATGTTGAATTTATTACTATTACATTATTTTAGAATATGTAATGTGCCTATTTGTGTCACATAAAATGTTCCGTTTTATTTTTGATATATTAATTGGCATACAGTAAGTACGTACTCAGTAAGTTTTTCTCAAGGAAATACAATATGCAATGGGCTAGCATTGTTAAAACGAGCACCTTGTACTCTTGAAATATGTGCTTGAAGCCAACCAAATAACTTAACAATTAATTTGTTAATTCCTATTGTTTTAGTATCTAGGAGAAAATGGAGCACACCTCGCCGCCTTGGATCCTAGTGGCTATACAGCTATTCATATAGCAGCAATGAACGGCCACGCAGACTGTGTTGAGGTCAGTGACAACGACAATAAAAGTATTGTGTGACGTATAATTAACGTTAGTGGGTTGCAGAGCAACTAAATATATAGTTCCTAATTGAATCGGTTGTCTCATGTTACTATTTTTGTTGGTTTTCATAGACAAATCTCGATCTTATATCAATCTGTTTCTATCTTCTTTATAGTGCGAGCCATTTTAGAATAATAATAACAAGATTACTACGGAAAGTTCATTTTATATAAAAACTATAAATGTGTTTGTGATATTCGACGCCGATCAGTTTTGTTACCCAAAGTACAAAAAAACAAACAAAAGGTTTCCAAGAGCAATAAGAACTGAACTATTACGTGACTAGTTATAGAATGTGCAATTTAATAATTAGTGATGTTAAAAACTAAAACCCTTATCTTAAAAGGGTGGAGGTTGGGAGTTTTGTAGAAATACAGGGTGGTTTATTTCTACTATAAGAATATCTTTTGCTTTTTATATCTTATAATATTAAAAAATGGGTGGAGGTTTTACATTATAGAATTTTTTGGGCGGTTTAATTCTACTTTAAGGTTATAACTAAATATTAAGGGTAACTGCCTTCCCACAGTTGGCTGCAGACAGCGAAAGGCAGTTGGAGTTTAGACGTTGTGGGTTCAAGCACTAAACTCTCAAGCCTTAACTGTTTCTCCTTAGTTGTTGGCGAGTTTGACATCAGCGTAAGGATCTTGTCTGATAGATGAAATATCACCAATGCGTTTGGGTGGCTATGGACACAGACATTATCCACCATGACTTAAGGAGAATTGGTCATAGAAGAATAATTCTGAATTTTTGGTCTCATTATAATGTTGTTTTGTTATGTATTAAGTTCATTATTGTTTTATAGTGCTGATTTAATCTCCTATGGATAATTACCGTATTTTATAAATAAATAGCTTACAAACTATTGATTACATTAATTGTTAATAGGCGATTAAATCAGCACTATAAAACAATAATGAATTAAATATCGCATTACCGTTATCGGTCCTAGTTGTCAACTTATTGTCATAGCGGATAATGTCTGAGGTAATAGCACCCAAATGCATTGGGGATATCCCATCTATTAGACAAAATTCAAACGCCGATGTTAATCTAGTCAGCCGTCATGGAAAATCATAATAAAAAAAATCATCAATCAAATAAGGGTATGAAGCTGAGTGCT